ATCATATTTCATGTTTATTTTTAAATAAATATACTATAATCATTATATCATATCATTTATTATGTATTTTTCTGTTTATCAGTTATTCATTCTGTCAGTGACGCCATATTTTGTTCATATTATTTAGTTGGATTGCTTCTTAATACACTGCACTAATATTCATCTGATAATAATGTAATACATTAAAACTAATTATATGAACATTTAATTAAAAGAGGAACACCAGGAAATATAAAAAACATAACACACACACACACACGCTCCTTATCATTAAATCAGGATTAATCCAACTCCCTGATTGAACCATGAAACCTATACATATAAAACATAGGCCTATGCCCCTAAACAGGGTCATTATCACCAACAAAAACTGTGTTGAATGACGTCACCGCCTGCCAAATCATCGAATTTATAATGAGGTTTTCTCTATGAACACGCATGGGCACAGTTTATCGTTGAGTACCAGGAGTACGAACACATGTTTACGCACCAATAACACCAGGTTTCATCGATAGGGACCGTTAGGAAAGTGTGCCAATCGTGCTTAAAAATCATCTAATATTATAGACATTATAAATGATAGCTATACTTTCATATGAGTACAGACAAACGAAAAATTATCGGATTGTTTTGCTTTTTTCAGTGAAATATAAGCCGCAAAATGCTGATCAACAGAGCATCCGAAGAACAATGGTTGAACTATGAACTTTAAACTGTGCATAGGTTTCTACTATTGGAGTAACATCGGACACTTGGTTTGTTGTTCATGTCCTCGCCTCGTAAATGGCCTTCGTAATTGGCGGTTCGTTTGTTCTTAATAGGTTTATTGTGCCTTTAGGCTATGATCGCTGTTTAGAGGCCAGCGTTGGATCTCCAGTCACTATAACAACTCCCTGGTTCTACTAATACGTTAATAATTCATTAAAAAAATAAAACAACAATTAATAATTATATTGTGTAGAAATTTATTACCACGTAAACATAATAATTTAGATTTCGAAAGCAAGTTTAAGAAAAAAATTACGCACAAGGAGAAAAAGCCACATGGTCGAACTTTTTTTGGATGGGGGCCAACTTTCACTGCCTAGACTTGAAAATGTCTGAAGTTGTTGATGTTTATTTAGGGTGTGTTTCTACTGATAAACACAAAATAATCGATTTTTTTAAACCGCTTTTTTAATGAGTACCAGACAGCCTGCTCGTTTTGCAACTGCATTTTTTATTTTTCGAAAATCGGTTTTTCGTGACGGAAATTACATCACTACTTTGTTTATACAACACATTGTTTTCCTAACTGTATAGGATAGTATCTTTCTCAGTCCTGTCATGATGACGAGGATTAAGATATGATGTGGGGCGAGAAGGCAAATGTTTTTGGCTGTGCTCATCGGCACAATGAATGAGCGACCAAATGAGGACAACGGTAGGCCCAAAAGAGTGGAGAGGCCTAGGCCCAATATTCCCTCATAAAATAATTACAAAACGAATTCATCGCTCCACATGTTTGTTGACATTTTTAGCTTGTAGGCCTAGGACATGAACAAGAGGACACATATTTTTGAAAGTTTTTTTTGTGTTGCAGCTAAAAGGTGCACAGCCAAAATCAGTTATTTGCCGTTCAAACACGCTATACATTGCGTGTTTTTAATCAATTTTTTAAAATCACTTTTTTCAAACTGGTCCGGTTTCAACTGCGAGATTAAAAGCGATTTTTCGAAAAAGCGATTTTTAATCGATTATTTATTTCTAGTAGAAACAGGCCCTTAGAAATAGAACATATAAAAACCTGTCATCATGAGTATACATGGAGCACAAATAATAAACTGTGTTTTAACCCTTATTCTAGGTCGCTGGAGCCCCTTAAAAAAATTTGGGGAACGGCCTCTATCACACGCCCTCTATCACACGCCCCCTCCCCAATAGAGGGCAAGTAAGTCTAGCTAGGCCTACATATGCTTATTTCTAACTAGGGTGGACTACTGGACCTACAGTAGGATATATTTCACTAAAACTAGTACACTTAAATAAAATTATAATATATAATATAATAATAATAGAGAAGATGGGGGTAGGGGTATTGAAATATGAAAGATGGGTTCATGTACATGACCAAACCCGAAATGAACGTTTGCAGACCTAGGCCTACATAACTGGTTACATTGCTAAAGTTTCTAGTTAAAATCTTTCCTCAGATTCATATTATTTATATTATTAATTAATTAATTATTTATTATATAAACAATCCCGCTATCCTTGTCTATCCAAGTACATCAATCACTGACAAAAAAATTTTTTTTACATTTTTTTTTGGCTCTACACAATCACTGAGCCTTGTCTCCTATTGTTTTAATACTGCTGCCCTCTGTTGCTGACTTTTTTAGGGAATTTCCCTAACGGCCTAGTAACTATAAATAGGTCCGTACCGTATACGAACTGCGCATCCAGAGACAAAAAATTACTCCGTATGGATACAGACCATGACCTCAAAGGGTTAAAAGGTTAAGGTGCTTTTGTTAAGGCATTAAGCGCTATATAAGAACGACATATTATATTATTATTAATAAATAGAATGAGTGATGTAGGCACAATGAATTTAAAAGGTAGGAATTAGTCAGGTAAACTTGTTTTCTGAATGAAGTTATAACGGGGCCGTTACAGCTTATTGCCCTGGGGAGAACACTGACTATGACAAGTTATTGTCCTGGTTATTGTTTTTATCTAAATTTTACTAGTCAGTAAGTAGCCTCAGAAAATTGAGTAACCAGCTGTGCACGAGGATAAAAAGATAGGCAGACTACCTACCTAGGCCTACATTTGATTTTATATTTAGGCCACAATGTGACAGCAACTATACCATGGCACTTAAAGTATATTTGAAGTATGTTTGTGATTTGTAATGCTACACTTTAATGCTTCACTTTAGCAAAGAAAACGCTATTTTTAGAGTTTTGACGTAGTTCTATCTACAGAGTGTAGCGTACAAAGCGAATTCCAATCAAACTCGCTTAGCGCATACCGCGCCCTGGACCTCCAGGCATGTTGTCGTCATGTAATTTACAAATCTCATTACAGCTTTATATAAGCATAGAGAAAGTATAGTCACATGTATGTATAAGAAAGAATAGGAGCTGCATTATAACATTATTTGAACTGCCAGTATTTTTACGCACTCAAGTGGGCCAGATAACTGTGCTAGTAGTAGTAGTAAACAATAAAAAATCGTTCAAACGATCAACAAGCATCCAAACTATTCACCATCGTCCAGACGCGAGCCGTAATTCAAGCTTGTAGCAAATATTCATGTAGCGTGTTAAAGAATGGTTGATTTCTTAGATGCGTTCGTGATAGTGTGTTGACCTATACGCGTTTTTGCCGTCTGGAATAATTTGGCGATTCTGAATTGCTTGCACATTATCTCCTTACGTTTTAGATGTGTTCACTGAGCAATTAAAATACTCATACCAAGGACATATTGCCTGCCCATATTCCCAACTGTAAAATAAGGCCTGCATGGGTGAATAAATTGACCCTAGAAATCTGCCCACATATTTTGGAAAATAAGGCTGTACATTTTCTACGCAATTTCTGTTGAAAATCAAGTATTGGCTTAATATTAGACGATATTTTTTTAGTATCGTGTTTATCACATCTAATTTTTTTAGTGTTTAGCGGCGGGCGGGAGAAATACAAAAATATTATTTTTTAATTTAGCAAAATTATCCTGCCAAAAGTAAAAGAGTAGAGGAGGGGCAAAAAAAAAATCATTATATTTCATATTCTAGACCACCTAGCCTTGCAAGCACCACGAAACAGCAGTACATATCATTATCTAGACTCAATACATTATTTGCCATAAAGCATACCATTCTAGGCTGTGATTGGTTGATACACACAATATGGAATATAGAGACCATTTGCAATCTGAGCAATGACTAACACCCTTTCTTAAGAAACCCATCCCAATGGCAAGAGATATGATATAAAAACATACAATATTTTCGAAAAACCTTTCCATACTTTAAATTTCCCAAGCCTTCTCTTCTATATTATTACAAAATCAGCCTAATCGCGTCACAAATGAAGGCCCTAGCTGATAGAAATCGCGTCACAAATGAAGGCCCTGATAGAAAAAGAAATGACTTCAAAATTCACTCAAAATCATAGTACAAGCCCTCTCCCTCAGGGAGTGGGCTAAAAACTGTAAAATTAAGGTGAACCTTGTACATACCTGGTCTACACTGAAATATTTATTGTGCATTCATGAAATGGATGGTTATGATTAGATGGATTGTTTGTCAAGAAGGTTAATGATATATAAGTATAGTAGAACCCCTCATTTACGAACCCCGATTTTACGAATTCCCGATTTTACGAACGTAATATAAAGGTGATGACGTCATAAAAATTGAAGCGAAAGATTAAAAAAAAAAAACCCCCCGCTCGAATTGTACCTGTTATTACCATGCATACAACACAACACACCATACTATACAGTACTATGTAATTCTCAAGTGAAGGAGGCCCTCTAAGGGGCCTCTTCAAAGTCAGTGTTTTTTATGGCTTCGCACATGTGCATGCGACAAATTTTACTTCTCTTTCAAACATCGTTTTCAGCTTTAAAATTCAACATAGTGCTTGATTGTTTTATTGAATGATCAATATATATAATAAACAAGTATCTATGGAAGTTGTGTTGGAATAAAATCCACGATCTAGGTATTTAAGAAGGTAAAAATGTCCGATAAAAACAAATTTGTGCAGGGCCTAGAGTGGGATCAGAATGCTTAGAAGCTGCCAACTGTAGGCCTAGGCCCCCTCAGACTGTAGGCCTAGCCTAGGCCTAGATTATGCCAGTGTAAGTAGTATCAGTGCAAATATATAGGAATTTGGGTCAACCCCGATTTTACGAATATCCGAATTTACGAACGGCTCTGGGCCCGTGCCGTACGTAAATGAGGGGTTCTACTGTAACTTATGTGTTGGTCTGATTGTGGACTTACTTAAAAATGTTCCCTGGCCTATTCAAGCGGTAGAAGGTTGCAACGTGCGTTATTTCGCATGCACATGCTATCTAGAAGTTGCTCTTGCTGTGGTGTCATTTCAGCAGTTTCCTGATTTTTGTAGTTTCAAGTGTCTGACAATGAATATTCATTAATATCATAATACATCATTGTGATGAGACCATGGTCTGGTGAATTATGCAAATAGCCTGTAACACAAAAATGATATTAGATTTAACAAACAAATATTAAGACTTACATTAATAATAAAAATAGTAAATAAAATAAATGTGTAATATTAATTTAAATTAATTCTCCCTTAAATAACAGTATTTCATAGGTTTTGTATTTATATATAATCAACACCAACATCAGTTGGATAAAACTTGACTATAACACATCCCAATGTGATTCTCTTCAACCTTCTTGTTCAGCATTCTGATACTACTGTACCTCCATACTATCAGATTGAAGTTTCATGATATTGGGTAAACATCATTTAAAATGATATTGTATTGCACAAGTAAGAAAAACTGTAAAATCAACATTTATTGCGCATTCATGGAACGGATGGTTATGATTACTCTAGATATTGTATTGCACAAGTAAGAAAAACTGTAAAATCAACATTTATTGCGCATTCATGGAACGGATGGTTATGATTACTCTAGATGGATTGTTTGTCAAGAAGTCTGTAACACATCCGATATTAATACTTGTCAATCTTGGACAGTCTTCTGATAGCACGGAGGTATTATACCTTCATGCTATCAGGTAGAAATTTCATAGTACTGGGTAAATATAATTTATGATGTGATGATATTGTATTGCACAAATAAGAAAAACTGTAAAACCGAGAAGATAAGAACCACTCATATAGTACAATTTTTAATTTAAGATTGGGGGATGTTTTTAACAGCATTATTTTTATTGCCCTACATGGTGTAGAGAATGGAAAATGAAAAGAATATTTAAAAGTTCTAAAGAAAATTGATGTGAGTATAAATGATATAGATATTGAAGTAACTCACAGAGTAGGAAACCGTCAAAAAACTGAACAGACCAATAATTGTAAAATTTAACAGCAGGAAGAAACAAGATAAAATATATAAAGATAGAAGCAAAATTAGTAACACCACATCAGAGTCACATGGATATCCTGGCAGAAATCACATAGAGTCGACTCCGCCTAAGTCGAATCTAATGGGACTGGCATAAAAAGATTGAGTTATACAGATTTCGACTTCCAAATTTTCGAAAAAACAAAAAAAAAATATTAACATAGAACAATACTATGTGTACTCAATGCCCACAAAATCGAATTTCACACAAAACCGAACATTTTTTAAAGTTCAAAAATCATTTCTATTCTTGTTTACTGTCACGCACTATCAAACTTCGGGCGATCTGACGTCATCACAGCCAAAGCACATGTCTAGTGCAAAACACCCCACGAAAATGGACCAATTGGCGGACAGGCAGAGTTTTTGGGGGCGCGATCTATTCTGTTTACAACTAGACTGCCGACCAGCATTACCGAACGAAGAATGTGTGCTTGGAAAAACATAATCAGACCTAAAAAAATGCATGCAAAAACAATATAAAAATCGCATCAATTTTTAATTGGTAATAATTAAATTTGCTGAGCAGTACAGCAAAACAACAGGTACTGTATGTATTATTAAATAATGTGTTGAATTTCCGTAGGCTAGGCTAGGCCTAGTCAAAAGAATCCAGGGCTTTGATAAATTAATTAAATAGCTAGGCCCAGACTACAACAATCTTGTTCAAAATGGGTTCAATACAAGTTCTATAAACTGAACTGGACAATAAACTGAACATTGGAGCGGGTCCGGAGGTGTGTCTGTATTGTGAGAGTAGACTGCAACTTACGACATACGATCGTATGAGCCAAGTTCCACATCGTGCTGTCTGAGATGTTAGTTTTAACTTGGCTAACTTGTTGCCGTACAACAAGGATTGAACTTCGTATTTTCCCACGGCTGTGTATTTTCTCACGTGCGCTACAAAATTTGGAACTTCGACTTGTGTGGTTGAAATTACTTTAAAATCGGCCTATCCGGACCGGAAAATTCCGTCGATATAGCCAAAATTTGATTTAAACAAACAATTTATACAGTAATACATAGGAAAGAATTGGGACTTTTTCAAAAATTCAACTGACGCAAATTTTCGACAGAGTCGACTTTGGCGGACTCGACTGTATCAACGAAAACTTGACACAAAGGAAACGTAACCTTATGGGAAAAGCAAATGCTAGACGTAAAGATAACAGCTACAGCTATTTGTGGACATACAGTGGCCGTATTTATGTACGCAAACAATAAGGGTCACCGTTGATTGTCATAAATACAGAGGAGGATCTACAAAAAATTATCTAAAGTCACCTAGAATATTTTTTTGAGCATGATGACAAACCCAAATGTGGACAATAAAATAAATGGTGATTGTAAGTCTTATTCTTCTTCTGATTTTTGTAATTTGATTTGCAGTAAAACTGAATCAATATTTTCGTTATGTCACATTAATATTCAATCCCTAAGTAAACATTTTGAGGAATTTAAAATATTTTATGAAACATTAGCTCAGAGTAAGTTAGTTAGTTAAGTTAAAGATTATAGCACTTTCCGAAGTTTGGCAAGTTTTAAATAAAGATTTATACAAGTTAAATAACTATCCATTAGAAATTAATTGTCGGGTAGAACAAAGAGATGGGGGAGTCGGCGCTTATATACATGAATCACTGAACTATAAGGTCATTAATTATAATATATGTCAATCTGAATCATTATGGTTGGAAATAGATATGGGTAGGAATAAATCACTTGTAGTTTTATTTTATTTATTTTATTGATTTCGGCAACACGAATGACAAAAACACAAAACAACTTTGAATGCACCATGGAGTGGCAAAAGAGGTCAGAGAACTTCTATCGCCAAGAGGCGTGCCACTCCAACACTCAAAGCCTACAAAAAACATGCAATAAAATATAAAAATATACAAGAAGTTAGAATAATTTATAGACAACCGAATACAAATCTTGATGAATTCATTGAAAGTCTTGAGTTATCAATAGGAAATATTTAAAAAAATTGTACTGAATGTATTCTGACTGGAGATTTTAATATTAATGTGAATAATACCTATTCAAGTGATACTATTAGACTTAATGGCAGTTTATTATGTTTCAATTTTATGCAACTTATCACTGTTCCTAATAAATCAAGTACAATTATAGATCACATATATACAGATAATTATACCAGATTTTCTAAATTTGGAACTATAGAATTAGATATTTCAGACCATTTGGCCATTTTCTGCATATTGGAAAATATGCATACTTATTTTAAATGGACTGATAAAATTATATTTAGGAATTATTCAAATTTAAATGCTCAATGCTTTAGTGAAGACTATTAACTAGTCTGAGGTATTTGATTGTTCAGACGTAAATTCGGCATACATGGCATTCATTAATCTATTCTTAGATGCATGCAACAAGCATGCTCCACTTATCACTAAAAGTGTTAACCCAAAAAAGAAATCTAACAAGCCATGGATTAATTCTCAAATAAGAAAATTAATAAAATTTAAACATAAATTATTTTCAAGAGTGATTAAGAGCAATTATAATTCAGAGATTTTAGCAAAACATAAACGATGTCGTAACAAACTTACTAATACTTTGAGAGAAGCTAAACAACGATTTTTTTCAAAGAACAATTTGAAAACCATTGTGGAAATATGAATAAAACATGGGAAACTGTCAATGACATTTTAGGCAGAGGAAAAAAGGAAATGAAATTACCTAGTCATTTGGATGTCCAGTCTGAAATTGGTAATGTATTTAAATTTACTAGTCAGTCAGACATAATTAATTGTTTTAATAATTACTTTGTTTCAATTGGCAAGAATTTTGAAAGAGATATCAATGATAGGCCTATTGAAAACCACATGGTATACTTACCTAATACCCATCCAAATGCTTTATTTCTTCATGGTACAACCGAAGAAGTTACAGATATTTTAATAGGATTAGATAAAGATAAAGCAGTTGGTGTGGACCAAATTAGTCCCAAATTAATAATTCTAGCTGCAAATTTCATTTCTATACCACTTACATAATTTAACATTTTCTACAGGATTCTTCCCAAATGCACTAAAAAAGGCAAAGGTTATTCCCATTTTCAAAAAAGGATCACCGTCTGACCCAGGAAATTATAGGCCAATCTCCGTCTTACCTTAATTTAGTAAAGTCTTTGAAAAAATAATCAATAAACAACTTACATCATATTTAAACCGATTTGATTTATTATATCCTTGTCAATATGGTTTTAGAGAGAATAGTACAAAACTTGCTATTACGGATTAACACACAATTTGTCGGAGGACATAGATAATGGCAACATAGTTTTTGGATTGTTTTTAGACTTTAAAAAAGCATTCGATATGGTGAATCATGACATTTTAATAAGTAAGTTACATTCATACGGAATACGGGGATTACCTTGGCTTTATCCAAAGATTATTTCAATAATAGGAAACAGTTTATTAGTATAAATGGGATTGAATCAAATGAACTTCCACTAACATGTGGCGTACCACAAGGGTTAGCCTGGGTTCCAGGCCCTAATTTTAGGTTACTCACTCTTTATTGCACTTAGTGCGCGCCATACCTAATTAATTGGCGTCCCATACTCGATTTCTTTTTTTTCGAATTAGGGCCTGGGCAAACGATTCATGCGTGCAATTTCCCACATCAAATTTGATGTGGGATATCGTATGCATGACTGGTTTTGTAAATCACGTGATTGGCTATGCCTGACTTCAGTGTTTTACAAGTCGCTTATTCCGTCCATCTCTAAATTAACTTTCTCGTTGGTGGCGCTGTCCAGAATGAGAAAAATAATATATTAAAAAAAATAAGAGACTTGTGGCAAGTCTACACAAGGGTCTGTGTTACTGTAGGCCCTACGTTGTTTCTTATATGTAAATGATATTGCAAGTGCTAACTACTTTGACACTTGCCTTTTTGCAGATGATACCAGCTTATTTCATACCTTAAATACATGATAATATTGACCTAAATTCTGTAAATGAACAATTAAAACACATTGTAGACTGGTGTGATTTAAACAAATTAACAATCAACTCAAATAAAACTAAGTATATTATTTTTCGTGG